TAATAATAATAATAAATTGAATTGTTTTTCACTTACCCTTGTCCGAATGGTACATCAATTGAATGAGAACTTGTTTTTTTCCTGTCACCCGCCATATCGGCCAACCTTGCAAAATCCGTATCCTGATCCATTAATCTAGCTGATTTTCGACTTTCTAAAAGTCTAACCTCTTCCAATTTTTTCTTTAATTCTATCGGAGCCTGAAAATAATAATAATATTAATTTAAAATTTACTTACGATAAATTTTTTTTTTTTTTACCTTAAATCTAAAAATTCCATGACTACCGGTTTTTCGTAATTAATTTATTCTTTTTTAATTTAAATGAGGAAGTAATAATATATAAGATGAAGAATAAGGTAGTCGAGTTTGTGTGTGCGTGCGCGTGCGCGTGTTCGTGCGTGTGCACGCGTTGTGTATAAAAAAAAATTAAAAGGAAGTTGTGAATTTTTGGTATAATAAAAATAAAAATCCCCATAATTAAAATACATATAAAAATGAAAGGCGAATTCTTTTTTTTTTCTTTCGATATATCGATATATCGATCGATGGATCGATCGATCGATTGGTTTACTTTTAGACGTGGTTGTCCACGTATCGCAAATAATATTTATAAATTAATTATTTTTTTATTATAAACTTTCGGATCGAATCGATCGTATAATACTTTCATATCGATAAAAAAAATATATCGGAAAAATTCGAGATAATCGAAAAAGAAAATTTAATTAAACATTCGTACCAAGTGGAAAAACTTAATTTCCTCGACCTACTTTTTCTTTTTAAAAAAAAAAAAAAAATTCGTTTCGGTCAAGTTCAAATTTATAAACCAAGTTCAGTAGTCAAAGTCTATTTTCTATAGGAATTTTCCTTTTTCTTTTACACCATAAGGAAAAACAAATCCGTATCCGGAAAAAGAAAATTAAAACGGAAAAATAATTAAAAAAAAAAAAAAAATTACAACAATCCTTAAATCTATCACAACAACAACAACCGAAAGAAAATTTTATTTAATTTCGTAATCATCTTCGTAAAATTTAATAATAATAATAATAATAATATTCAGGTATTATTATTATTATTATTATTATTATTATTATTATTTATGAGGAAATATATAAGATTCAACAGAATGATAATAATAATAATGTAAATGTGGGTCTTGGTCATTTGAGGTCACGAAAAAGTAAATTTTTGGGGCGTTGTCTTCCTGTTCACACCTTCTCTCTCTCTCACTCACCATCTTTCCAACATCTCTCTCTCTCTCTCATTTGCAAACCTTTTCATATAGTTACATAACATACGATAATAAACATTTTTTTTACATGCATGTTAGTGCAATCGATAAAACCAGTAAAAAAAAAACCATGATAACTCCTTTTTAAATTATTATTATTATTATTATTATTATTATTATTATTATTATTATTATTATTATTATTATTACTAAAAAAATGGAACTCGAGTGAAAGGTGCGGAGGTTTATTATATAACTGACAATTATTATTATTATTTTTTCACCTTCACTTAATTTTTTTTTTTTAAATGAAAATTTCCTGCTACTGTCATTACGCGTTTTTTTGTCTTTTATTATAATACACGCACATGCACGCACACGCACGCATACGCACACGCATTAAAAAATCTCGTAACGTAATATTATCAATATTAAAAATGATTTTTAATCGAGAAATAATAATAATAATAATAAAACTTTCTATTTTTAAATTTAAATTATCCAGTCATTGCTCTCACTCTTTTTTTTTCGGGTTTGGGAGGGGGTCGGGGAGTGGGGAACCGGGGGACCGAGGGAGGGGGGGACGAATTCAAGATGTGAATTAAAGTGAAAAGCGAAAAAAAAAAAAAAAAAATTTTTTTTTTTTTTTTAAGAAAACATCAAATCGTGCAAAAATTATTTTCATAAGGCCAAGAGAAAGTTTACCAAGTCAAGGACGACAAGTTTTAAGTAAAAAAAAGAAAAAAAATTATTAAATTTTCTTTCGTTAAAAGTTTTTCCAAAAATTTAAAAAAAAAAAAAAAAAAAAAAAGAAAATGAAAGGTTTGGTTGTTTTGTAAAGCACACGATCGATCGATAATTGAACAAAAAAATTATAACCTTTTGTTTGTTTGTTTGTTTGTTTGTTTGATAACACATCGTATCAGTTAAAATTTACGTTTTTTTTTTTTTTTCGTACGTAACGCATGTGCTATTGAAAACATATATGCAAACGCACGCACACGTTGAAAATCATTGTATTATTATCTTAATTGTTCAAAAAAAAAAAAAAAAATGTCACACACGCGCATTCGTGTTTACATACGTTTAATTAAAGTTTCGTGGGGCAAACTAAATAACAAAAAAAGACCGAAGCTTTTTTTTATTGAGCCTAGTGAAAGGTAAATATATAATTTTTTTTTCGTAACTCAAGTTCAAAATACGACGACATAGGTATTATCGTACCTGACAAATTCTTTTCGAACCTTAACTACCTTATATAAGGTATACATATATCCAACCGTGAGATTTTTAACATTCACTAAAAAATTAAATTCGAGAAAAACTCGAAAGTAGAAAAAAAAAAAAAAAAATTTCGAAATTTTTTGTGTGTGATTTTATTTTGCGGTTGTAACCGGGCACACTTCCACGAGTGTTACATAAAAGTGCCGCGTTATTAAATCAATGATTGTGGCCTAGTCCTAGATAAATTCTCATGTTATGTAGGGCAATGGTGAAATCTAACCAACTACAACAACAACAACCAAGTGTAAACTCGCATATAACCTACGTCAAAAATCAGTTAAATAATGCACTTTTACCCCCTCCCCTCCCTACCCTCACCTCCCCACCATAAAATTTAAAGTAGTACGAAAAAAAATTTGAAAATTTGTTTATTAGACGAACAAAGATGACGGGTCAATATGTCATCGAGAGAAAAAAACGACAAGTTTCATTTTTTTTCTCCTTCTTCTTCTTCTTCTTTATAATCAAACAAACAAACAAACAAACAAAAAAATTTGACTTATCAAAAAACTATCATTGATTTGATGTAGGTCACGATTTAATAAGAATCCGAAAAATAAAGTCCTAAAATTACAATTTCCTTAAAACGACATAGTTTTTGTTGTTAAAAAGAAAACAAAGATCGATTATTATTATTATTATTGCAAATGTTATATACTTTGTTTGTTTGTTTGTTTGTTTGTTTCAAAAGTGTAAATCAAACGCACACGTACAAAGATGAATTCATCATCATGCAAAAAAAATAGAAAAAATTCGTGAAAAAATAATTTAAACAAACGCAACCTAAACAACAAATATATTATCCTGTTTGTCGTCGATTTTTCTTTCTCTATGAAAAATTATTTAATCAAGGACGTTAATTAATATATATGAACTTTTACGATTCTTCCACAACAAGGAAGCTAAAATAAGGAAGATGATAATAATAATAATAATAATAATAATAATAACGACTACATAACAATAGTTTAAACGATTGGAACACTTCCATGAATGAACATTAAAACATGAATTTCTTTTCCGTAATTTCTTTTTAACCACCAAAATGTTTCTTTCACTCTCTCTCTCTCTCTCTCTCTCTCTCTAATAAATTTCTGCAAAACCGGTTTAGCAAGGAGGGAAAGAAGAGCGGAGGGAGGTGGGGGGGGGAGAGGAAAAAAACTAGAATCGATTTTAGAGCGTAACGAGGTCGTGCAAAACACCATTTAACCCAAATCCGAAGGACTTTTTTACGTAAGGTGCCATAGAGTTAAACACACGACGACCAGCACCTGAAAATTAAAATTTTTTATTAATACATAATGTACCTCTCGACCCGGTTTTTATTATCGACAAGTACAGTATGATGGCGTAAAAAAAAAAAAAAAAAAATTTCATCTCATTTGTCCTCGATCTTCGTAGAAAAGGGGAAGTGGGCCAAGGTATTCAAAGTGACATCGCTAAAAAAAAAAAATTATTAATTTCTCAATGTCGACATAAAAGTTGATCTGTAGGCAGTCGATGCCTGAAGGAACCAATACACACACACACACACACAATAATAAATCATATCGGATATCGTGAGTAATAATAATAATAATAATGTCTTTTTATATATATATATATAGTGTAAATAAAACGTATCACCTAAACAATAAAAAAAAAAAAATTCAAAATTTAAATTTCAATTTAAATTCATTCATTCATTCATTCATTCATTCACGTTATAAAAAATTTAAAAATTAGTAAAAGTAAAATCGAATAATATAGAAAGTCAATATTAATAATAATAATAATAATAATAAAAGTGAATCGTGAAATTAAAAAATGAGGTCAATCCTGTCGTAAGTAGTAAGTGAAAGGTAATGAAAAAAAAAAAAAAAAAAAAAAAAAAAAATGATAGATTGCAACAATACATGTTTTTTTTTTTTTTTTTCACGTTCGATTATTATTATTATTATTATGGTTTTTTTTTATTAGTTTTTGCGAATATAAGTAAAAACAATTACGAAACATCCCGAGATTTATCATCATTTACGAAATCATTTTTAAAACAAAAGAAAATCCGTTAAAATTTATCCCGAAAAAAAAATTAAACAATGTTTTTTTTTTACACGTAAGTGATAAATTGACCGTCGAACAAACAACAACAACAACGTTATAAAACAAGTTTAGATAATAAAAATTTTTTTTATCATCATCATCGTCATCGTTTTATTATATTAATTTCAAATGAATTTCCGTAAGTGAAATAATAATAATAATAATTTCTTTCTTTTTTAATTTGTTTTAATTATTATTATTATTATTTTGAATTATTATATCGGTACAAACAAAAACCCGGAACAATAAAAAAAAAAAAATTAATCAGGAGTCTTATTGATATTGGGGGGGCGGGGGAGTAGGGGGGGGGGGTTTCAATTGACGAAAACAAAGGCAAACAAAACTAAAGCAAAGTCGAAAGGCTAACAATCTCTCTCTCTCTCTCTCTCTCCATCCATATCATCTATTTTCAAGGCCTTTTACTTCTTATACTTTATATTTTATAAAATTAAATCATTTGCACAATTTTCTTTCTTTCTTTCTTTCGTTAACATCTCTTAAATTTTCCTTTTTATAATTAAAAAGGGGGGTGGGTGGGGGGAAGTCAAAATATAGAAATCAAATGAAAAAAAAAAAAAAAACAATCGTCCACTTTCGATTCGATCAATTTTTACATTACGTGTCATACGAATGACCGGGTTCTGCAAAGTAATAATAATAATAATAATAGGCATGACGATAAATTCAATGGTATGATGATATCCGGTTTGTGTTATATTGCCACAAAAAAAAAAAAAAAAAAAAGAAAAGAAAGAAAAAAAAAAAAAAGATTTGACGCCCCCCCGAAAAAAAAAAAAAAAAAAAAAATTGTATTCATTTATAATAGGGTGTTACAAAAAAAAATTATTCTTTTTTTCGAGAAAGAAATTTAAGATGAACCCGTCGGATATATCGTTTACGTTTAAAATTATATTTTTTATAGATTTAATAAACGCGAAATTGTTTTTGTTACGACACACACACACACACACAACCAAATTGACTTTCACCGTGTGTTTGAAAATAATTTGTAACAAACAAACAAACAAACAAACAAAGAAATTTAAACGAGAAAAGGTTTTATATATATACAAATTACGTACGCATTTAAAAAAAAAAAAAATTTGCCAAAAATCATTCGACACATAAATAAAATAAAATTTTGGCAAACGTCGCCATTTCATAATTAGGCCAAAATAACATAGAGTAAGTGACATACAAAAATTGACATAATAGCTTTTTTTTTTTATCTTTTTTTTTTTCATAGATTCCGATTTTAACAATAAAAAAAAAATTTTTTTTTGGCTATTTCGCATTTTAAACATATTAATAATAATAATAATAATAATAAAAGTAAATTTAAAAAAATTTCATTACCTCATGTCCGGGAGGGCTAATCTGAACGATAACTTCATCTTCTTCGGCTTTATGATTCAAAACGATACCCGAAACTTCTCGGCCATTGTATGTAAGGTAAAGTTTTTGTCCCGGTTGAAGGGAAGCTCCAGTCAATGCATGATATCCGGGAAGGGATTGAAATCCGGCACCAATGAGATGGTATTCCGTAAAATCCTCGACGGCTCGAATTTTAGTATTTTCAAATCCGTTATAAATGTTTTTTTCCAACGAGGCGAGTGCCGTTGCTATTGGTATGCCATCGAAAAGTACTTTGTATGCCGTTTCGGGAGTTTGTTGTAAAAGATTCATTTCCCAAGGATTTTGCATTTCGCACGGCGTATGAACTTCTTGTATTACTCCAGAATAAAAAATTCCGTCTTTCCATTTGGCACAGACCCGTGTGCCAATTATAGATCTTTTAGCAAGTCTTTTACCCGTCGACATTTTTACGTTTTTTTAAAAATATATTTTATGAAATCGAATTTAAAAAATTAAAATTTATTGGGCAGTGATTTTTTAAAGTTTTTTTTTTCTCTCTATCTAATAAAAAAAAATAAACTCGCGCACGACACAAATATATATATAAAATTAATTATTGTTTATTTAAAATGTTTTTCTTAAACAAATATAATTATATATAAATTCACTTACACACTAAATGACGCCGTCCACTGCGAACCAACTCCAATTTTTCACTTTTCCACAATCCTTTATTAATTCAACATAAAATCCGTGTTCGTGTAAATTAAATAAATTAAAAAAAAGCATCATCGAGTAAACCGTATAACTTTTCACTAATTTCACACGATTCCGCTAAATAAAACATTTGAAATGAAACACACAAAAAAAAGAAAAGAAAAAATTTTTCTTTGTTTACAAGAACATATGATTGGAACGTCCCACCCGATCAGCTGGTTAAATTTCTCTGATCAAAGGAATGAGAACCGGCCGGCCGGGCTTACGTCAGAGTTAAAAATCGAAAGACTCACGTTTCCCGTGTTTAACTTACGAGCTCGAGTCGCATTTAAAACGTGCGCAAGCTCCATAGTCGTAAGTTGACAGTTTTAAAACAACGTCCATGTTTAACCAATGAGTAAAACCGTCTTTTTAAATTGTAAAAAAAGAACGGTACAGCACAGCTGATATGTAATAACAAAACCACGTGGTACAATTTTCAGTCGCTCATTGGTTTAATGTTTTTAGCATGACCTATATTTTAAGATGAGTTCAATGCATCCAACTTTGAATTTAGAAAATCCGTTTTGCGATAGTCAACCTTGCGTTCGAAATTCGATGGCGTTTTTTTTTTTTTTTTTTTTTAATATTTATTTTTTGCGTCCGTGAGAGAAAAAATGAAATCTTTCAACTAAATCTTTACACGTTAAAAAAAAAAAAAAAAAAATTTATAAACCTAACCTAAAATAATCATTACATTTTAAATATAAATAATATCAATATTATTTTTTTTTTTTTTTAGCAAGAATTGTAAGAATATCGCATTACAATGAAAAAATACACATTTATCAATATCATCTAACATTAAAATAATAATAATAATTTTTCAAACATCAAAAAAAAAAAATTTTTTTTACAATATTTATCGCGATTTTAATTAATCGGTACAATAACAATTTTTTTTTTTTTAAGGAAAAATAAAAAAAAAAAAAAAAAAATAGAACGTCAACGTCATTAGAGTTGGAAATTCCTAAGCGATAGTTTTACATACACAACGTAAGAAGATGGAAGTTATGAATGAAATTTTAGTTACACAATAATCATTTGATTTAACGTTCGGCAGCAACCTGCATTTAAATATCCCAGGAAATTTTTCAATTTATATTAATTCTAAAATATTCTACGTGTTTGTTCTCTTATGTAAAAAAGGAAAAATATTAAATTTTAATTAATTCCAATTTTTAAAAATTTAAACTTAATATTAAAAATGTAAAAAAAAAAAAAATTTCATAATAAGTAATAAAAATATTTTTTGAGGGTTCCAAATCTATGACAAATGATCAATAATTTTTTTTTTTTTTTTTTTTTGAGTTGGTAAATTTATATGTTTGTCGTGACGCATAAATCTATTTTTATTTTTTTTTTTTTTTTGAATATTCCACCCCCTTGCTAAATTTGTTCATTGGTCCTGGGTAAATTTTTTTGTTTTGTTTTATAACATCCTCATTATTATTATTATTATTTACAATAAATACATTACAAATATAAAAAATTATTAAAAAAAAAAAAAAAAAAAACAATAGCTTGATACGGTAATTATTAATTAATTAAATTTTATATGCATTTGATGCATTTATGACGTCACAGATATTTAATAAAATTTCTATACGTTTTTAGCAATTAATTATTATCATTATTATCATTAAATTATTTTTGTGCAAAATTTGTTTTATCGAAAACAAAGTGAAATACGTAAAAATTTTTTTTTAAACAATGATAAAATCATTTTTAAATTTTCATTTCAAAATAAAATAATGTTAATTATTGAGAACGACCTTAAAAAATAAGTAAATAAATAAATAAATAATAACTTATTTTGTTTTAAAACTCCGAGATTGTGAAACCTTGTAAAAAAAAAAAAAAAAAACGCAAATAAATTCAAGGCATTACATGGATACACAATACAGTTATTAATTATAAAAAATTTTAATGACGTAATTACAGAAGAAAAAAAAAAAAATTAAAAATTCTATTGTAAGTAATTAAAATATTTGGCCGAAATTTTATTTGAAAATTTTTATCGGCTGTTAAAATTACCAATCAATATATTTAAAAAAAAAAAAAAAAAAAAAATATGTCGTATATTTATAAATTATTATTTTTCAAAACAGCTGATCCATTATAAATATTTGCCGTATCTTTTTATTAAACTGAATTTCACTGACTTATACGATCGTTTTCTAAAATTATTTTCATGTTTAGCATATGATAAGATAAGTCATTTAATATTTCCGTTCGTATACACAATTTATGATTTTGTTTTATAGAACGCGTCATAGAGTATTTAAAAAAAAAATTCTATTATTTGTTAAATGAATTATTAATTTTAAATAGGTTTTCTTTTTTTTTTTTTTAAATAAAGTTTTTCATTTTCATTAAAGTATTTTATCAGGACTTAACATAATAGAAACAAATTATTATTATTATTATTGGTTTGTTTGTTGCCATATTGAATACTATTCGATGAAAAAAAAAAAAAAAATATTAACAATTATTTTACTCGACAATATAAATATTAGTATTGATTTGATTTTTTACATTCTAATGATGTTTGTTATAATTTATACGTTTTATTATAAATTTCTATTTATTGTTGTAGTTATTTACTTCATGATTGAATAGAATCAATTTATAACCTATTTTAAAAGTAACACTCAAAACCAATCGAAGAATATTTTTTTTTTAAAGAGTAATGTAATAATACATACAAATGAATTGTTTTATACAATAAAATACTAGAATCATTTCGAAAAGAGTAATTTAAAGTTATGTGTGACAAAAAGTTTTATTCGAAACTCAAATTAATTAATATCAATACATATTTTACCCTTTTTTAGACTTTATTAAAAGAAAATGATCGTTTTAAAGTAATTGCTATTAGAGACATGAATAATAAATTAAAGTTTTCAACTGTATTTCTTATATAAAATGTGGCTATTTCAAATTTATGTTTATTTAGAAGAGTCTTTTAAGTATGGAATGAAAATTAATATTTGTACATAAAATTAAATGTAATTTGAAAATTTTGTTCGAGTGATATTTGTTATTATCGGAAATAACAAATTAATCAATTGTTTTTTTACATTGTATGAGTTAGCCGAATTAAAGTTAGAATCGAGCAACTATCTATTAAATTTGTAATTATTTATTGCATATATATGTTTGTTAAATTTTAAAAAATTACCAATAGCTAACTAAAATTATTTCAATTTCAATGTTTAAAATTTTTAAAACGAATAAAATATTATTCGATTTTAAGAAATGAGTTAAAACTGATAAGAAAGTTATTTAAAATGTTTAGAACAGTTTTTGTCGAATGCCATTAAAAAAAAATTACTGCACATTTACATCTTGTTATTATCATTAGTAGCAATTTATTGATTCGACAAAACAGAAAATTGATTTATGACAATTTTATGGTACTAATTATTAAAAAGTCAATCAAATGGTATTCAATATAAAAATTGTTATAACACAGTGTTGATGAAGGGATTATTCATTGTTAGTATACTACAAAAACTTGATTTGTAAAAAGTTATTTAAAATTAACAGAAAATCAATTAAAAAGTGATCAAATAAAATTATTAAATGATCAGTTAGTTATTAAAACAGAAAAAAGATGCACAAAATTGAATAATGCCTTTTTTTTTACATTAAAATAAGTTTAAAAGTAAAAAATTAAAATTATTTACAAAAATTATAAGTGAATAATTAAGAACAATGAAAAAGGGGTATCAGTTTTGAAATTTTATGAAATTTTCTTTACATAAATTATATACTGACATTTTTTAAACGTTTTTAAACCCAAACTTCATTAAAATATCAAAGCGTTTGGGGTCATTTGTACCTTTCATAATTTTCAATTTTATAATTAATATTTTAAAAATTGTTATAAAATTCTAAATTTAATTACCTTAAGCATTGCAACTACTTTAAAAACGATTTCTTGCTTCTTTTTTAACACTACTTTTATAGAAATTACAAAAAAAAAAAAGTTCTTAAAAATGACTTGGATTTCATTTTTTTTACATTTACTAAAAACTTATAAAATGGCGGAAAATTATACCCGGGTTAACGTATAATGGATTGAAAAATTAATTGAAGGCGGAAAAAAAAAATTTTGACTTACATTTTTCCTTTTCCCAGTCTGCGACGTACTCGTACTTTCACAAAATTAACAAATAAAAATTTAAAATATAAAACTTTTTTTAAAATATAATACTAATTATTTAATAATTATGTAAAAAACTAAATCACAAAAAAAACTTATTCTTTAAAAAAAAAAAAAAAAAAAAAAAAAAAAACTAGTGATTAACAATTTTATAATTTAACCGTTAACGTCATTTTGAATTCTGCCTCCGATATCTACAAGAAAAAAGAAAAAAAAATCAAGATGGCTTCGAAATCTAAAACCACGATAAAATGAATCAATTTATAAAGTTGAGTACGTTTTTACTTTCTACTACGCCAAACGCTGTAAAGCGTTTTTATTATTTACTAATTATATTTTTTACCTTTTTTTCTTGTAAAGTATCAACAAAACTTGAAGAAAGAATAGAAAGTAAGACATTTTTTTTTTCGATAGAGAAATAAATACGAGTTTTATAAAAATAAAAAATAAAAATTCAAATTTGTAAGCCTAATATTACCTTTTTTTTTAAAAAAGTCGTTTTTTTTATTTTTATTTTTTTTAAAGATTATATTCTATGTAAATTTTGCGGAGCAGATGCTGCCGATTTGGAATATATAATATTTATGAAAAGTCCATTTTCCGTAAAAATAGAAAATTCTACCTTATCTGGAAAAGTAGTATCCACGCAAACATTAAAAAATCCATCCAATATTCTTTTTGAGGTTATCACGGTGAAAAAAAGCAATTGCGTTGGTCTCGGAGAGGTAACCCCTGTAAATATAAATTAATTATTTTAATAAATACAAAATAATTTAAGTAATATTTTTGTTTTGGTATTATTATTATTATTATTAGTGGCATAAAAGTGACACCTGGTTTCCCGGTTTTGCATGGAAAATTTGCGTTTGTCAACATTGGGGTCATTTTTTAGGCTGGTAATTATGTTTGTGTTTTACTAATGTATTAAAATTATAATTTTAAACATAATTAAAAACTAAATCTTACCTTTAGGATATTCGAACCCATTGAAAGTGCAGGACGTAATCGAAACAAAGCATCAGACAAAGGATTTTATGCACTGGTATCGGAAAATATTCTTACTGAACAATTTTCCAACTCTCTGTTGATGATACCGAAAAGTTATCAAAGCTGATAAATAGTAATATATTTTCAATATTATAAATTTAACTATCTATTTGTTAAACCTGTACCTCGTTACGGTTTCCTAACTATTATTATTATTATTATTATTTTAGGTATTATTTAAATTTCGACTAACAAATCAAACATAAAATGTCTTCTGAAACGGATACAACGGATTTAAAAACATCAGAGTCAAAAGATAAAATTGTACCATCCATAACTTTTGATCCTAAAAAAAGTTTACATTTAATATCGAATGTTAAATTGACTGATGAACAAAAAGAATTTTTAAACGAATTAGAAGAAGAATTTAAAGATAGATACACTGAAAAAGATGAAGATTACAAAGCTGCATTAGAATCTAAAATTTCTCCACCTCCAGTCTATGAGAATTGGTTGGGTTATAATTACGGAAGGCATAATCATCATCATCATCAGGGTAATTCATATTCTAGAAATCATTATCGTGACAGATACAATAATCGCGAAGGACCTCCTAATCATCATCATCATCATTACCGTGATAGATCTCATCACAGGAATTATTATTCACCTAATATGTATAATTCTCATCATCATAATCATCATCATAATAATTATTATCCATATTGAAGAAAAAAGTGTTTGAATTTTTTCTCTTTTGTAAATATGTAACTAAAACGTTTGACAAATAATTATTAATAGGAACCGTATAAAAAATAAATAAATAAATAAATTAATTTAAAAAAAATTATTTCATCACAGCCTCTATTGTCATAATTCAGTATGAACGTGTGTGTGAGAAGGCTTATTATTATTATTATTATTATTATTATTATTATCCGTTATTTCTTCAATATTCGAACTTAAATCAATTTTCCTTTGTAATTCTTTTATTTCGTGATCGTAATCTTTCCATTCTTCAATTATTCTCATTGCGGCTGTTAATTTGGCTTCTTTCGTCAGTGGATTATTACACTGGAAAAATATTTAATAAAAAAAATTAATTCAAAATTAAAATCAAGCGATTTTTTTTTAAAAGAGGAAACGTACAAGATCAATCGTTTTAGCAAATTCTTTCGATTTGTCATCGCACCACGTTTCGCACCATAACCATTCTTCGGGTAAACTTTTAATAGCAACTTGATGTATCATGTTATTGGGTAAATCTTGATCTAAATTAGACAAACTGTTGGGATCTTTGCTTAGAGCTTGATATTGACCTCTCAACCTGTCTCCGGCCGCGATTCGTCTGAAACGTTTCAAATCGACAACGTACAAAGCACTTATGTGATACCTCCTTCCCTGAAGATGATTTCTCCAATATCCCTGATTCCAAAATCTTAAAATCAAAAAACGATTAATTTTGTATCGAACCATTTTTAAAATTATTATTATTATTATTATTTTCTTTCACCTAAATCCATCCATTTCTTTTCTGCTGTTGCAAAACGGAGTGTAACCGTAGGGCGCACCACCCAAATCCATGTCGCGAAGTTCTTTCATGTCGGCTCGCACGACTTGATCGGCATCTACGAATATTATTTTTCTCACGTGAAGCGGAAATAAAACATCGAGAAATAAAATTTTATAACCCCAGATAATCCTTTGTTTTTCCGATTGTTGATGTAACCATCTCGGCCATTTGTATTCGACCAATTCGAATTCGAAACCGTAATGTTTGGCCATGTGGGGTAAAAAATCCTGTTGGAACAAATTTTTTTTATTAACGTTTTTCATATTCCTTCGAACGAACCCATTTCAAAATATAAAATTCTCATTACCTTGAGAGTTGGTGAAAGGTAATTTTTCAAAAACCAAAATTTAACCTTAGTCTGAGTGTGTTTTATAACGCTCAACATCATAATTTTAATGAATCTTTCGTACAGGTGTCCACTCGCCAGAGAAAATATATTAATGACGTCATCGACATCTTCCGATTTCGATCCGAATGAACTAAAATAAAAAGAAAATTACGTTCAATGAATGATTGTTGATGAAATTAATAAAATCAAAAAATAATAAACCTGGTGATTGAATTCCATATTCCTGTTCCTCCGTCATCTTCCGACAGTAAATCTAATTTCATTTTATCCGGTTTTTTCTGAACTCTGAGTTTCAAAACGTGACTCCTGAACGATGATATTATTACTTTTATGTCTTTGACGATCACCGAATTACCGGATTCGTCGGTGCTAAAAAAAAATTTTAATAATAATAATAACAATTGTAAATATTACGATAGTACTACTACTCACTCAATAAACTCACTCAATGATGTTAAATATCTCCGATGATCTTCCCTCGCGAAGTCTCAACGTCCACGCCCCGGGATTAGCTTTAAGTTGAAAGTATCCCAAATTGGCCATGACTATGGTATCGTATTTGGCCGGATTGATTTCCGTACCTAGAGTGATTTGTAAACCTCTCGGAGGATTTCCCAGCATCGCTTCAAAACAGTGACCCTCGAGAAGAAGGTATTCGAGTTCGAATTCGCTGCAATTTAAAAAGAAATTAGATTTTCTATTTAAAAAAAAAAATTGAAATAAACCAGGTTCATACCTGTGAACGCCACTTTCGAGTACGTTATCCAATTTAATATTATCTAAATCGTAGGGTGATCGAATGCTTTCGACGATCCAATTTTCCGGCACGTGCATATTTTGAGTGAAAAGCACCGAAGTCGGTAAATTGGAAAATTTTGCTATAGGACCAGGAGTTAATTTTCCATCCGGTTGAAAATGAAGTTCCGGTTCCAAAACGTATTTGTAAAAGCTAAAAATTTCAATCGTTAACCGTTAGAAAAACAAAAATAGTCAAGTTTAAGTTACGTGGCACAGGTACTCACTTTTTCAAGGGCAAGTCACTATTTTTTTCCACGCAGTTTAAATAAACGCGAACGTGACTGTTCACCGTCTGATGAAGAACGGATAGTATAGGTCCTATTTTTTGAGCTCCCTTAGATACGGGATCAACAATGGCGACGATGTCAAACGAAGGTATAGAAGAATTAAAAGGTGGTATATCCACGCAACTAAGCACCTGATCCGTAGATTTTAATGGTATTTTAAATCTGACTCTTGAATCGGAACGAGAAGCCAAAACGGAAATGGTTTGCATGAGATTGTCACTCGTGAGATAATTAAAGTTTCCTTCAACTAAAAATCAATAAACAATTTTTTTAAAATTAATTTTCATCTCCTAAAAAAAAAAAAAAAAACCATGGATGCAATTCATTCACCCTCTTCGGTAGTGCTCTTTTTATCCTTATTAAGCCCTTGAAATATTTTTTGCCCAATGTGATTGTAACTGAGCCTGTCGAGAAGGGCAAAATCATCCGCGACGAACGTTTCCTCAGAATCAAAAGGTCCGTAAACTCGTCCGTTGGTCACAATGCCTCTTTCTCCCGGTTTAAATTTTAAAACGGATTTTACAAAAATGCGATGCATGGCAACGATTTTCTTGGCTAAATTCCCGTCGAGCAACGCTTCTGCAATATCGGCAACGTTTAATCCCTGAAATAATAAAGAATTTTTTGTTGAATCGAATATTCCATGAAAAGTTTCAATAGGGAGAGTATAGTCATTCACAAACCGGTAATAAAAAATCAGGAGGACGACGGAAGCCATCCAGAGCTTCGAAAACAGGTTCGTTATCTAAAATTTTGTAAATGTAATTTGCGGCTACGTCCGAGTTTAACGTTCCCAAAGATGTTAAAATTAATTCAGTTATTGGAGCAACCGTGGATGAAACTGGATTGACTATGATTCCCACACGTATGCTTGATGATCCTTTCTGTATCAAAAAAAAAAAAAAAATTATGGTAGATGCATTTACAGTGTTGCCACTTCAACTTATAAAATATTTTATACATTTACCATTTGTTCAAGTGCAGATTTTAACATTTGCCGTCCTTTTGGACAATCTAAATCCGCAACAACCCAATGCGTTATTAAATCCGGTTTTTTCTTTTGACCGATTTTCCCGGTAAAATATTTCATATTTTTAATTAACGTTCCAATTTTTTCTTGCATGGAAAGTTTTTTGTACTCTGAAGGACTGGATGTGGGCACAGCATTTCCCGTGAGATCCAAGTACACGGCATTTTCGGATAAAATCCTTTCATTCAATCTAGAAAGTTAAAAAGCAAAAAAAATATTAGATATTTATTTTTATAAATAGACTTTTTAAAATAAAAATTTACAATTACTTACCTGGGCATGACATTAGGTCTACTCATCAGGAAATCAATGGCGCTGTCGGTATCGATAAATTCTTCTTTGAACACGGCTTTTTGCAATTGAGGAGTTTGAGTCATTATTTCACTCAAAACACCTTCTTCGAAATCATCGGCGTTAAGTTTTTTATCAGACAATGGTACTCCGTTTAACAAAGCCTTACGTAAAAATAAAAAATTTAATGAGTTTATTCGAATACCAGATAAACTTATTTATTATTTTCATTGACGTACCTGTGGAACTTTTCTAAAACCACTTCTTTGCAAAAATTCAACCGACAATTTTCTACCCGTGTCATATGCCGAATCTTCTCCAAAAACTTGATCAATGTCAATGCTGGGATATTTTGCTTTAATTTTTTTATGAATGTCTTCCACGGTTACATCCTTTTCATCCGGCACTGAAGCATACACCTGTAAATGTAATTCATATTTTCAAAAATCTGATCATTTATTAAAAATTTATTTTAAAAAAACGGTCAATCATAACAATTTTTTATTTACATACATCCGTCATGAAACTGAGACCACTGTAGGGATTTTTGGCTTCTGCCACGTAATTGAACGCGTTGAGCATGGCAATTCCTGGATCATTCAAACCAGTTTTGGTTTTATCATCGGTGATAGCAAAAGCTAAACCCAATCTTAATGGCGCACTATGTATATAAAATGATTCCATTAGCTTTAATAACGGCTTGGATTCTTTTTTTGAAGGATCCACTATGAGAACCTAAAAATATGGAATTTTATAAGTAAAAAAATTCCAGTTATACTTTTTTCTGTTTTTTTTTTTTTTTTTTTTTACGCACTAAATTGTAAAGATTTCGTCTTATGCTTCTTAACATTCCTGGAAACGTTGGCCTGAGGAGATCTAACAAAGAATCTGACCATTTTCTATATTGCCTGTCGTTTTCAATGTCATTGATCCAAATCACAGCAGAATCCCTTATGTCTATAGCATAATCAGTTGAGGACACTGACAAATCTAAATTGATCAAGTTTTTTATATCTTCTTCTTCCACTCCTAAAACACAAAGAAAGTAAATTAAACAAGTTAAAATGTAATTATTTAATCGAAATCAAAGTTTTAAAAGAATTTTTTTTTACCAATTTTATGCAACTTTTCCATTATTCTTAATTCTTGTCGTAAAACTTCCAGTAGGGATATTATGTCCAATACTTCAACATCAAAATACATTCCGTTTATAAAAATGGCAGCATCATTTGGTGAAAGATTTAATACACTATCAAACACTTCTTGATTTTTTAATATTTCTTTTTTTAATTCTGGCCGAACTCGAGTTTTAATTAATGATCTAGCCTGTTATGAATAAAAAAAAAAAAACAAAAAAATTTTAATCGTTTAATAAGTATTATTTATTTCAAAGTTTAAATTTCATAAGGACATACTTGTAGTGGGAAATTATGAGCAATATGTGTCATCGTTTTAAGAGCTTCTTCACCAGAAGAAGATGATAATATACGTTCTGCAGCTTGTAAACTCAGTTCTTGCACTTGCCATACTTTAAGCGGTGCCATTTCATTGCTAGTTTCTAACAAATGAGATCGAAATTTTTCTAATTCCATTTTCTGTTCAGGATACAAATTTCTAAAAAAATTTCCTTTTTATTTCTGGAAAACAACTATGACTTTATATAAAATTCACAAATTTACTTACTTTAGTTTGTAAAAATTCAATCCTTCTACTTCTTCATCTGGATCTTCTGTTTCACTTGCCGAAGAAGATTCATTTGCTTTAACTTGAGCATCATCCATTACTTTGTACTCTGTTGATTTCATTTGAAGTTCAACACCATAACCAGAAAGTCGAACTCTTTTGAAAGGTCTTTCCTTAAAGAAACACAATTAAAAAAATATATGTGATATTCCATTTGCAATCTACAAAGTATTAGTATTTTAAAAGAAATTTTTTCAACTTGTTTACCTTTACATAATGTCTAAATACATATGATAATCTGTTTTGGGAAGCTAAATCTTTCATTGCTAAATGCATTTCTGCAAATTCAGAAGTACCTAATTCTGCATACAAAATGGCAACATGTGAATGATTTTCAGAAGTCGGATATATATGGTCCACATCATACAATTCTGGCTTTTCAGACTTTTTTTTTTCTTAAACGAAGAAAACATTAAATATGATTAATTTTCCATCAAGTTCTTACAATGATATGATAAAAACAATAATTAAAAAAATTTACCGTTATCATTAAAGTATTGCAAAAATTCATTAATATGACAAAACAATCTTCCATTGAAATCCACTGCAGATGGACATCTACTTTCTGGCACTCCACATTCAGAAGCCATTTGACCAAACATTTCTATTTTAGGAGAAAATATATGCAGCGATAAAGCTAACTTGATTGCCTTTATTTGAGAATTGGACAAATATTTTTTTGCCAGCTAAAAAGAAGTTACAAATAAATTACAATAATGATTTATGTATTTAAATATGTTTACATACATTGCATAAATATATATTAATATATTACATTTTTTTAAACACTGTAAAGTGAAAACATAACAATTTTATTACCTTTAACGCTGTATCGTAATGAATCTTATCATTTTCTACCTCAATAAGTTGTGGTTTCAGTTGACTAACATCATTTATGTAACTCCAAAAATCATCTTTAGATTCTTCACTTATATATTCAGCAACTTCTAACACAATTGGAGTTACTTCCCACTTTGCATCAATAAGAGTGGTAACTGTTTTCGCTTTTTGTTTTGCACATAGTATGTTCGAAAGACAAATTATACCAACAGCAAAATATAAATTAAGAATCGATGAAAAAATCATTTTAATTCCCTGTAAAAAAAAAATAAAAAACAGTTTAACTATTAAAAAAAAAACCATTGTGACATTAAAACCTCAGCTGCTTTTAACAATAATCTTATAGACTAAACTTGTTTCATGTCCTCCAAGACATCGTTTTAATGGATAGTAGTATTACTATGAAAAATTATAATAAGAAAACGGTTAAAAAATTTAAAATTAACCAAGAGAGTCTTACTTAGAATTTAAATTTTGAAATTGACAATGACGTGTCGGATTTTCATATGATAACAATATCAAAAAAAAAAAAAAAAAAAAGGAAAAATTGTCGAAGATGGCTATTTCATAAGTTCATTAAAATTCACAATCAGGATCATTCATTGTTTTAAAAAAAGGCACAATATTGTCAAGGCTTATGTTTTCTTACACGATCACATTCTTCTAAGCCGGGTAAATATAAAATTTGCCTAAATTGAAAGTTTAATTTTAACTGTAATATTATCATAAATAACGATCAAAAAAAAAATTAACAAATAATTACCTTTGTAACTTATTTTTTTTAAATTTACCCTCCTAATATCATGTAAATGGCATTCTTACACTTATTTTAAAACAAAAAAACAATATTTATCACAAAATTTAAATAATATTTTCATAATTAGAGTTTCCAAGCTTCTCGAGATGTAACATGAAGGCTTCAATCTCAAGGTAGCGCGGTTATGTAAAACCATAGAAGGCGCTGATTTAACGCCTTTTAATAACTGTAAACTAAAATAAAAATATTAATAATAATATTTATAAAATTATATATATACATATATATATTAATCAAATTAAATAATTTTAATTTATTATACAGCACTGTTAATAAACAAAAAAAAAAATCATCACATCATGGATATATAAAATCATGTTATTTATTATAAAACAATGTTATTATTTAACATTATTAATTTACTTTCCAATTATGAGCAACCATTAATCGCTCAATGACTATTATATAAATACATAATAAATTAAATAACAACCTCCAAATGATTAAATATTTTATAAAAATAATTTTGTATACACATTTTTGTAACAGTTTTTTCCTTTACTTTTCTTTTCCAATTCCAATTATTGTTGAAAAGACGACAACTCTTCGTTTTTAGTAAAAATCTTGAATTATTTCAATGATATTTTTTTTTTAAACTAATTATATTTATAAAGTATGACGTACACATATTAAAATCACTTCCGTCAATTCACAGCGTGTGTGTCGTTTAAGACTTAGAATCTAAAACCGTTAATAAATAATTTTTTTAATATGGCGGCGGTTGATGCGAGTACGGATTTTGAACGGGCATTTGAGTTTGTCTTTGAAGTTGTGCCATGAGAGCCGGAGTCGGTTGTTGGTTGGGATTTCCTAACGTTTGATTATTCGGATTATTTCCTTGAGCTTGTTGCATTGCTATCAATTGTTGTCTCATTCTCTGAGAGTTGACCTGCACGTTTATGAATCATTATTTTAAAAAAACAAAACTCTTTCTTATAAATGAACCGATTCACACGTACCTGAAATTGTTGTCCTTGTTGGGGATTCATTTGTGGTCCGGCATTAGGACCAGGAGCCCTCGGATAAGGAGGTGCAGGGCCTGTCATAGTCCCTCCCATGGTATTCATAGTAACATTCGGGGCCTGCTACAAGAGTAGAAAACAATATTTTACTAATAATATTTTTTTCCATATAATAAAATTTTCTGTCCTACAACAGGAAAATGTCCTACTCCTAAAATCATTAATTTTTCTTGCCAATTTTGTCAACAAAAATGATAATGTGTCTGACAAAAAAGCAGCTACGACAACGAAATAATATATTATCGATAGTAAAAAATATTTAATGTCGAAATTGCAAACGAAAGCAGTTACAACGTAATCCTTCAACCGTTCAATCAAAGCCATTTAAATTTTATTTAAAATTAACTTGAAATTTTGATTATTATTATTATTATTATTATTATTATTATTATTTAAAAAAATAAATTTTATGTTTTTATTTATCCATCGAACCATTTTGTCATAGACAAATTAAACACACGCGTTTTAATTTATTTCATTTCAAATTTTTTCCCCCTCCTCCTCCCCCCATTTATAAAAAAAAGTAAAAAATTTTTTCGGTTTTTTTGTTACGTACCTGAAGGTAAGATCTTTGCGGACCTATTCCTCTCTGTTGGTTAATGCATGGGCCGCTTGTTTGCATGTATTCAGTTCTTTGCATGGGCCCTCCCGTCATGAGTGTACCACCTCCTCCGGGAGCATTTCCTCCCTGTTGGAAACCTTGATGCTGAGAGAAATTTATGTTGGACATTCCACCCTGTTGATTGATCATTTGTTGGGTGTTTATCTGTTGCGATCCGTAGCCGCCGTAATTTTGATTCAAACCTAAAATTTTATTTAAAAAATTTTTTTTTAATTTTTATTCTTTTTGAAAAAAAAAAAAAAATGGAATTATTAAATCATTACTTTGCTGCATGTTTGAGTACATGTTGCCCTGAGGGAACATGGCTGCATTTTGCATTCCAACTTGTTGAGAACGAAGTTGTTGCACCCCTTCCAAACTCCTTCTGATAAACTGTTGCCTTTGTTGCATTGGAGGTTGAGGAGTTTGCCCGAATGGCTGTTGTCCCATAAATTGCTGAGCCGGAATTCTCATTCTTAACATGTTTGTGATGGCTTGTTTGGATTGCTGATTAAGCGGTCTTTCAAATCTCGGAGCGGCAACTGTTAAACATTAGACATTTTAAAAATGACCTCGTGGCTCATATTTTAAAACCCATAAAACTACCTACCTTGCTGATTTAATTGCTGCGGGTAATAAGCCTGTTGTTGAACGCCTGGAATATTTTGCTGTGGAATCATTTGCTGAGCGGGTTGCTGTCCGTATCCCCATTGTTGATTGACGCCCTGCTGTTGATTAATTAATTGTCCCTGTTGTGCAGTGAACATTGGATTTTGATTCGGATAAGACATTTGTTGCTGAATCTGAATCTGAGGCTAAAAAATTAGAATTTCCCGTTTTAATAAAAAAAAAAAAAAAAAAAAAAAAAGTTGTCATAAAATTAAACTTGATGTGATACGACACTCTTTCCTGTCGTAATTAAAACTAATAACATATTTTTATTACTTTATTGACCTGCATGTTAGCTTGCATTGTAGGTTGAGGTGTCATAGGTTCATTTTTAGCTCTTCTTTTTAAATTCTTTTTTACTCCTTTTTTGCCACGAGGTGAAGTGTCCGATGACGGAGTGTCCGCTTTATCATCTTTCATTTGATTACAATAAACGCAAGAGCACTGAAAAAAAAAAAAAAAAATTTTAATTTTTATTTACGTACGTTTTATTATATTAATATAACATAAACAAATGAAATTTTCCCTTACCGGTTTTTCAGGAACAGGTTCAAGATCTTCAGGAGGAAGAGGAGGTGGATCTAAGTAATAGGATGCTGGTTTGGTTACATTGTGAGTGTGAAACTTCAAGAGTCTATGCGCATCCTGATACCAAAGAGGTTTCCTTTCTATTCTTATGGCTCCGAACCATGCCCAGGACAAAGGAGCTGGATTTTTATGACCTTCTAATATTTCCCAGGGTAATACTTTTTGTTTTTCATATACTTGGAGTCCCTAAAAGTTAATATTACTAATATGTTTACGATTCTTATTAATCGCATTAGGTGCTTATTTATCACTTACTTGTTTTTTATCGATCGAATCAAATCCAGCAATTTTATTGCCTTTTGTGTCCGTTAAACACCCGACGGGTTGTACGGTAACTACTTCTAATTGTTTTTTACTAAGCGGTAGCAATTGACGAACTTGCATCATCGAAGGGGATATTTTATCTCCTATTTCCTGGAAAATAAAAATATATCTCAGTTCAAATTCGTTCAAAAAAATTTTTTTTAAAATTAAATTCAATCATTTAACTTACTTTTTTCAATTTTTTCATCAAATTTAAATAATGTTTTTTGTTTTCGTCGGATTTGTCCGATTGCGAATCGGATATTAAAGTCGAATGAATTAATGTTGCCAACATGTCGACCACCGAGGTAAACAGCTCGGAATTATTATTTAAATCAATAACGCCGTAGGTTACGAGTTGAAGGAGCAAAATGGCCCATTCCGTTGTGGTAGATGAACTTCTTTGAACTGTATCGAACATTCCACCGACGAGGCTAAACCTGAGTTGAAGAGAATCTTGCATCAAAGCCCTTCCTTTTCCATCTTCGTAATTAGACAAACGTTCCTAAAAAAAAAAAAGGATTAAATTACGACGTGCGAAGAAAAGAAGTGAAACAAATGCAAATAATAATAATTTTGTTCAACTGACATCTTTGCTCAATTGTATGTACTGAGTCAGTTGGTTGTGAAGAGAAGTAAGCAATCCCTCCCTCTGATCATCCTGTCCTTTTAAGCAAGTCAACACCAAAGAAAGAAATGGTTGATGACTGAGTAACGATGTGCTCCTTTGAGCTGAACGATCACGTTCCCGACTTTTTCCAGACCAATTGCCACTTTCCAAAACTTGTCCTGAAATATTTATAAAATTATTAAATTAATTTATCTCGATATTTCTATTTAAAAAAAAAAAATAAATAAATAAATAAATAAGAATACCCGCAACTCTCAAAACACGTCCTTGCACAGCGCTAGGCAATTTTGAAACGAGAGGAGCCACTAGCCAAATATTACCATTTTTATTTTTTTTGCTCGTTGGTATTTTTTCTCCTTTTACAAACGTAATTTCGTTCGAGTTCAATTGAAAAACGTCGATGGCAGCTTTGGCAACGATGTCCAACCAATGATTAAGTTCCGACGAACCGATTGAAAATTGTTTGTACATTAATTGAAGATCCAGCCAGGAAATTCTCAAAGTCCACAAATCCAAACTCTACGAAACGTGAAGTAAATAAAAGTTATAATTATTTATTACGAAAAAAAAATTGTAATTAAAATTAATCAATTAAATACTTCTAAAATTCTCGATATCATGGTTCTTTGATCTAAATTATTGTCCAATGTTGAATTAGGATAGCAAATCATATGCAATAATCTTTGTGCTTGTCTTGGCGTCAATTCGTTGTCGAGCAGCATATCCGGTTGACATAATTCTTCTGGATTTTGCAGACAGCGCTCCAATACCCACTCTTGAGAACAAATTTGTTTCAAAACGTGTTGTGCGAAATCAGAGAGGCTCGTAGTCGTTTCATTTGATCTACACGCAGAAGCACTACACAAAATTCTACAAGTTTTATCCGTTCATTACGGAATTACAAAAATTTTAACACGTCGTCAAATAGTTACCTCCCCAATCCTAACAAATCGTGACCTCCTCCCAGTATATCGCTTGTTCCAAGTATGTGACTGATGCTGAGCTCTCCGCTTCCGAGTGGAGTCGTTATCTTATTGGTGGGCTCTTTTTTTAATGGTTTTGAATGTTTTGATGTGAGATCAGCTACGACTAATATTGCTTTCAACACAGCCAAAACTGCTCCTACGTGAATTGTACTATGAGTAGCAGCCAAAAGGTGTCTGTCGCATGATAATTTCATGCAAAAGACTTCCAAAGGATGCGGAGACGTTCCTAAAAAATAAATGAGAAGGGAATAATTTCGAGTGGGTCATTTGTTACCGATCATTTGAAAAATATGATGTCATACCTCCAGAGTATAAAGCAGGTTGTGGGCATTCGACGGTTTTAAACAATCTAAGTAATAAATGACACGTCAATCGTGCTCCCGCTTCGTCTTCTAAATCTTTTCCTCTGCCTAAAAAATTAAAATTTATGTAAGCAATATAAAAAAATGGAATTGAATTTAATGATCGTTAAATTTTACTCACGAACAATAGGCGGAATTGCAATTTGAATAAAATCTACTAGACTGAAACAATGTCTAGCGATGAGAATAGAAACAAAAACGGCTAGCGAATTATGAATTGAAAAATCTTGCACGTCCACCTGTTGTAAAACGTCAATGAAATAACAAGATTCACTCGATGATGAAAATAAAGCTTGTAGAACACCTTAAAGAAGATACGTTATTTATTTATTAAAAAAAAAAAAAAGTAAACAATATTTATATAATATTTTGAATGCTTACCCAACCATTCGGCAGATAAAGAATTGCAACATGCGGTTAATTCAGCACACGTAAGAGCAATGTCGTTTAAACGATCATTATCGTTTTCGCTCACGACGGCTAAAATTGCGTTGCAAACCAAACTGTATCGATTACTCGCAGATTCGGCAAGTTGCCTGCCCCACTGAGGTTCGATTTTACCTTTTGAAAAATTATTAAATTAAATCGAATTTCCGATTTAAAAAAAAGTAAAATTTTTTCAATTACCATTTCGTCTTGGATTTGTAAAAATTTCCGCCATGAATCCTGAATTATAAACGTGACTGCTGGGGCTGGGTTGAATCGTGCAATACAACGCTTGTTTAATTTTCGGATAAGCATTCTGGAAAGCTTCCACGCAATGAGGTTTACATTTCAATATGGAGCAAGACGAATATAAATCGTACAGGTGAACTAAAATACATCTCTCCGCTGAGGAACAATCAGCCGGATTTGTGACGTGTTTGACGACGTTACACAATCCTTGAAAAACCATGACCGTTTGTTCTCTGGACACTTTTAAAAACAAAATTCGGTTAGTGAAAATTCGCAAAAGGTAATTTCACATTATTAAAACTTAAATTTGAATAAAAAATTTACGGAGTAAACAAGAGTGATATCTTCTCAATACGGCTACGATATACAAGGCCAACCCGGTAGTGTAACACCTATCCAAACTGTATCCCTTTAAACCCAACTGGTTTTCGACTTCTGGTAATTCTTTTAGAATTTGAATGCACACGTGAATCAAACCGTAAATGTTGTATGCCAGTTCCATCAAATCGAATAAAAACGCGATATGTTCTTGCACAGGTAGATAATTAGAAATTCCTAAATGGCAATATTTAAAAAACCAATGAGTTATTGAACCACTTTAAAAAAAAAAAATTTAAATATTCACAACCTAAACTAACCTCCAGCAAATGAAGCCAACATTTCTAAAACGATTAAACTACACTGCCAAGTAATTACATGCTGATCGAAAAAGGAAAAAGATTGAAACTTGTTTGTCACCGACTCGAAATTAAATTCATTTCTGGAGTATTTTTTAACTTTTCCACCTGAAAGTTAAGTTTTTCCATTAAAAACAGACCAATTAAATTAAATTAATAAAAATTTTATTTTTACTATTTGTAATACACACCGTCAACCACGTCGATGCTAAATTTTTTATTAAAAAGTTTACAAATTTCTTTGCTCATTTTTTTTAAAGAATGTCTAGCGTCATCTCGAACTTTTCCCACGCCGTACAACAGGACGTGACGCTGATTACAATCGTGACTACTACCTTCATCTTGTGGTAGTGGAAAATGTGTAGTGTATAAAAGATGTCTTGACGGTTGCGTGCAGAAAACACCGTGTGATATTCCAACGTCTTTCGGTGAATCTGGAGCGTCCTGCAAATAAAAGACAAACCGCATCAGAATATCGTTCGATTTTTGTTTAGAAAAATTTAAAAAAAAAAAAAACAACGGAAAAACATTTTAATATTTACTATACTGTAACAAACCATTGAATTTTGCTGCTCTTCTTTAATGTGTTGTAAAAGTTTATCTAAATCATCGTCAATTTTACTATCATCGTAATCGTGACCCTCCATTTTAGGTGGTTTCAAATCGATTCTGGGAAATAATGATGCTTCTTCATCCACGGAATTCGGAGGAACTCTACCGTCATTGGGAGTGTCTGGTTTGTTATTGTAATTTCCCCCTACAAATGTAAAAAAGTTACTAATTCACATTTAATTTTACTTTATCTAAATAATTCATTGAATAAGATAACTAACCCGTAGTTTGAGAATTAGTCGGAAGATCTCCTCTTGATATCAGAGTACACATATAAGCATCGTGAGAAAAAACATCATGGCGAATCAATTCGCTAAATAAATGAACCAGGTTAGTAAACATAACTTTGTTTTGAATTGATCCATTCTCTTCTGTATTTAAAAAATTAAAAAAAAGATTTCGTTAAACTTCCTCATAATAATAATAATAATAATAATAATAATAATAATAATAATAATTAATTATTTTAATTAAAAAAATTTTTTTTTTAACCTAAAATGGGTGCGTCATTATCGAGAAATTTCATTAGAAGACCTTGAAAAATAGGAAGGGAATTTTGTACAACGTTTCCAGATGAGATGCTATCTTTGTCGTCGCAATCTCCGCCTTCTCCAGTCAAATGTGCTTGTCTTTTTTCGAGAAGCATAGCTACAGCCATCGCTCTATGTTCACCATATCTCACGTTGCTCACAGCCCATTCGCAAAGAATTTCAACAATTGGCTCCTCTTGAATCACAGCCTTTAAACATTAAAAATTTTTACAGTCTTAATTTTTTTCTTTTTTAAAAAACCTAAAAAAAATTTTTCCATCTTACACTATCAGATCTCGAATCCGATTGATTCCCTCCTTCTTTTGTTGAAATATTAGAAAAAATTTTTGAATATAGAGTATCCAAATTATTGTTGGAATCAGTCTTGTCAAAGGAATGTCTATCTAAAGAATCTAAAGCATTTAATACTTTGGTAGTAGTTTGACCATCTGTTGATTGTTGCCACTTATCACAAGACCACCGTACTTCTGCCGCTCTACTCCTAGCTTTTATCGCTTCTTCTGCTTGTTTAATTTGTTGCCTTAATTTCATAAACATAAAAAAAAAAAAAAAAATAAAATATACGTATGCATAAAAACCTACTATTTCTCCATTATTAGAATTTTTTTTCTAAGAAAAATACCTTAATGAAGAATTGCTTGCTCTTGCTGGCATGGGAAGTGTGCTTGGAGGACAAGGTAAATGATCTAATGGACTGTTATTAAGCGGATGAGTTGATCTCCCTTCTCCTATACAATTCCACACAAGAGCTGTAGGACATTCAAGCGTTATAACTTGGATTATTGTTGACAAATATATAACGACATCTCTGTGATGAGAGCATTGCATTAATTCATTGAAATAAGACGACACTTGAATTTGAGAATTTCTATAATAAAATAAAAAAAAATAAAATAATAATTTTTCTGTAAAAATTCATAACAGTTAAGGATCTGATGGAAATTAACTCACTGGTTATTACTACTATTGTTATTAACGTTGTTGTTGCTACTATTGCTGCTATTGTTGTTGCTATTGCTATTGATGTTGTTATTGTTGTTATTATTGCTCGCGCTGCTTGCACTGTTGTTATTACTGTTACTATTACTATTATTACTAGTATTATTACCCGTATTGTTCACACTGTTACCAGTTGATTGACCAACATTAGCAGATACCATTTGTTGATTATTGCTACTGTTGCCAATCATGTAATTTCCACTTGTCTGAAGAGTACCACTGTTTGTAGTATTTATATTACTGTCATTATTATTACTATTACTATTTACTGAAATATTAGTATTATTGCAATTCCTGGAACCGTTCATTAAAGTGCCCGAATTGTTGGCACTTACTACTCCTAACATAGGATTGCCTCCGGAAGATAATTGAATATTTAAATTGCTACTTGAATCTTCTTTGGGAAACAAACCACCTCTGAGTGCTAGTTGACCAAGTTTTTTACAACAAAGATGAGACAGACGCCTTGATAATAATTCAGATTGAACAAACTCGTCTAAATATTGAAGGCAAAGAGGGAGAAGAATTCTAAGCATTCCATCCTCGTGATTTGATGATTTGAGTTTATCGAGAAGTTCTAAAATCCAGTTTAAAAATTCGATTCTTTCCAATAAATTTTCCTTTATAATAAAAAAGTTAATATTAATGTGGTAAACAACAAGTTGTTTAATTATTTAAAAAACAAAACTACAAATTTTCGAAAACTAACCTCATACAAATACTTTGCTAAAGTTGTGCAATAACGCCACTGCTTAAGTGCTAGTTTTTGTTCTTCTGTAGCAGTTAAAGTAGGACCCCATGATTGATGATAGTATTCTTGTAATTTTATTAATTGATCTTTCAAAAATTTAATTAGTGTACTAGTCCATTCTATAAATTAGTTAAAAGTACAATTACAATTTATTTTACACTACATTGAATTTTAAAAAAATCTTACCTTGCGTAGGATCAGGAAGCTGCCTTTTTTTCATTTTCGCCTCTGAAACTGCCACAGTATATGCTGAACTTAATTTAACAAACCAGGCTGCTCTCATTAAAGGTACATTGTATTCACATAAAAGAATAAAAATTTCTTCTTTTTTATTAAAATTGGGAGCCTAAAATGAAAAAATAAATATTAAAAAACGAATTCTAATTTTATTGAAAAAGAAAAACAAAATTAACTTACTTTTTTGGATAAATTTAATAGTGGTTTATTTCCTGCCAAATCCTTAAACCAATTTTCGATTGCATTTTTCGTTCTAGCTGTAGCCGGCCAAAAATTATCTTTCGTATTTATCTGCTGCCTTTTTCTTCCTGAATCTGGAAGCGTGTTTAATTCTTCTTTTTTTGACAAAATAGCATTAAAATAAGATCCAACTTTAGATGGAGTAACATTACAATTTCTAGCAGTACCAAACTCATCGGAGAGTTGTGGCATTGTTGTAAAGCCCAACTTAACATTGTTGACGGTAAGTTCATCCTAAAGAAAATTTTTGTTTAGGACAGTGTCTAATAATAATCAGCCTCTTGAAGGTAAAAGTAGGCTGTTGTAGTAAATGTAGTTCCCATTTCAATTTTAAATAAATATGCATAAAATTACAAAAGAATCATTCAAATTTATTTTTTTTATTTTATGCTAAACGATTAAAACACTAATTTTGGAAATGGAATAAATATTTTTAACAGTACCTCTTTTTGTTTTGGGTCCTGTGGATAGACGTCAGGTGGACCTAATCTGGACCGTTTTAATGGTCGTTTTTCGTTAGAAAAAACCATATTTATCTCCTTGTATTGTAATCAATCATAATGGAATATTTTATTAATTTTAAAAAATTAATAAAATCGACCAAAAAAATATGAAAACATTTTCTTATAATTTAAACACAATAAAATTCGAGTGAATTTGTAAACAATAGTACAAAAATTCACCGCTTGGAGCGCTAGCTATAACTTCCATAACTTTTAAATGCATTTACGTTAGAAAATAATACATAAATAAAACATTTTCATAAAAATAAATAAATATTATGAACGAAAACATTTTTTAGCATTTTTCATTTCAATAAGACTTAAATTACAACCGTTTTCTCGTCAGAAATGAGAAAAATAAAAATGATTTTACTAATCGACAAAAAATCAAAAAAAAAAAAAAAACTTTGTTGATTTCTTATGAAACACAACTAAAAAATTATTTAAATACATAAATGTCGTGTAATTTTTATGCTTATGGGTTTTATTCTTTTTTAATATTTTAACACTTATTCGTGTACATAAAAAAGCATAAAAGATATTAATTAGAAAAACAAACATATTGCCAAGTGTCACAGATTTTTTAAATTGAACTTTTATATAAATATTTTTTAAAAAATTATACAAAATGATCGTTTTAAAATTAATAAATTTTAATGTGTTACAATTATTATTTAAATAAAAATTTTTGCAATTAAATATTTTTAAAGTATTTTATTTCATAAATAAAATATCAAATTTTCCTTTAATACATGCCGTACATAAAATTCGCCTTGAAAAAGTTACATTGTACTTATAAAATTCAATTTCTTAGAATAAACAAAGCAAATATGTTTGATTGTTTATTGGTTGTCTCAATTTTATTTTTTTTTTTAAGTGCAATGAAGCGCCTATATTCTGTTTACAATATTAATTGTTTAAATTGAAAAGCTAATCAACATTAAAAAGAAAAAATTTTTCATATTTGTTAAACAAAAAAAGGTTGAGCTTTGATTGTTTTACCGCGAAAAAAATACCTTTTTGTTATTAAAACTTGTAAAAACTTTCGAACACTTTTAACTGAATTTTTATTCCGACATTTATCGAATTGTTTTACGTTATTTTAATTTTATAAAATTAATTAGTTTAATTTCAAAAAAAAAATAAATAAAATAAAATTATGAAAACCGATTAACGAAAAAAAACTTAGTTAAAAAGGTTTCCAGTAAGGGCGCTTCAATATTCTCCTTCCTACATTCTGATTGGTTGATTTTTTTTGTTGAAAGAACTCTCTCAGAAATTCAAAGCGCGTTTTGTCACAGTTGCGACATCGTGGCTTTAGATGAAAAGTTGTTAATTTTCGCTCAAAATTTTACTTTTTTTTTTTTTTTTTTATAATACCGAGAGTTACCAGCTTTTTGTTTTGCTTTTATCAATTGTGGAACTTTTTTGTTTTTTTTTAAATCGACATCGTGCTTTGGTTTTTTCAAATTTATATTTAACATAAAGTATAAGTAAGTTTCGTTTTATTTTTCATTTAAATATTTAGCTTTAATTTGGAATGATTTTTTTAAAATTAAAATTACTTCGAGAAAAATTTGAGTAAGTTTTTCTTTTTAAATTAACTTTTTAATAAAACTAAAAAATAAGAATCATTTGATTAATTAATAGAAACAGGCAAAAACTATAGAATTTGTTTCTATCATTTACATTTGTCATATTTAATAAATTAAATACAACTTATTACATACTTATAATTTACCTGTATTTGTGTTAATAAATATTATTATTATTATTATTATTTATCATATTAAATCAAGTTTTGGTCAAATTTTTTTTTTTTTTTAAATGAAAACTTATCTGAAAAAAATTTTTATCTAATTTATTATCAATTTGTTATCAATAAAAAGTTTTTTTTTTTTTTTTTTTGGTTACATATTTATTGGGTAATAAATATTAGTTTAAGAAGTAACTCCTGATTTGTAGTACAGGAATTAATTTTTATCAAATTTTAAAAATTTATTTACAAAAAATATTATTATCATCATCACCACCCTTAGTTTTGTTTAACATTGTAATGTAATTCCATAGATAAATAGATATTATATGAAAACATTTATATTTAGATAGTCTCATTGCATGCAAGGTTTAAAATCAGGATAGTTTCATTAATTAACTTACACATGGAAAACTCATTATTATTATTATTATTTGTAAAAATAGATGTAATTAGTTAAAATCGGGATATTAAAAATAGAAAAATGAATAATATTTTGTGTGGATAAAGAGAGAGAGAGAAATCAAGTTTCCGCATATTATTTTATCTTCCCTATATACACATCTATTATTTATTGCATGGCCCAAGTCTGTCTTCTGGTCGGCTAAGTAATGTAATACCTAGCTAACAACCCATTGGTGGTCGGCACGAGGTGAAAGAGGCGAGTAATACAAATGGGGGGAAAAAAAAAAAAAAAAAAAAAAAAAAATACGAGAATGGTTTAAGTGTTAAATATTTTCTTGGCAACATGAAAGACACGACTCAGTTTACGGATTGGATTGTGTTGTTATGTTTTGGGTCAATGATCTGTTAAAAATGAATTTTTTGTGTTAAACAGTGCACACACGAGGGTGTGCATTATGGATGGTTTTTTTTTTTTTAAAAACTTGGTTTAAACTTTTTTTTTTTTTTTTATATCGCGGCTTCCCTTTTCCTATCGTCAAATGCCCACGAGTTTCTTCTTCTTACTGGAATATTTCGCGTGGGATTAGTCTGGCATATGTATTCATTTCGTAATTAAAAAAAAAAAAAATTTACAAATTGTAAAATTAATTAATTTTTTTCCAACAATTAAAAACAAATGATTGTTTGAAACACACACATTTTGTCATACAAAAATTTACCTTATTTATAATAGTAATAATAATTAAACATCTTAATCATCGAGCATTAAATTTTTTCCCATTATAAAAATTTCTAAATTGTTTCAAAACTTTTTAGGGTGTAAAAAAATCTATTGCGGTGGTAAAAAATAAACACTTGATTTATTTCGTATTATTATTATTATTATTATTATTATTATTATTAAATAAATTGATTTTATATTATTTATAAAAAAAAAAGGAATATATTACAGTAAAGGTCAAAATTTTGCTTGATTTTTTGTATCATTTTATATATAATCCTAAAATTATTTTTTATGCGGCTACGCACACGCACGCGCACGCACACACACGCACAAAATATTATAGTAGGGAAATAATAAGTTAAAGAATATTAATTTATATTAATTTGACATAAAAATATAATATATATAATTTATCCGCATTTTTATTATATTACAATTTGATTTAGTTACGCGTCTAAATCAATATTTGTTAATTCTTGTTTAATTTATATAAAAACAAAATTAAATAATATTATTTAAATTATGATTCATTTTTCTTTAGGGTGTATATTATTTGTAAACTTTTAAGATATGATGATGATGATGATGAGGGTCGCATTAAACACTCGTTTCACGGGGGGATAGGGGGGGGAGGAGGAGGAGGAGGGTACTTCCTATTTGATAGAGCAAAGGGCTGCTGCTCCTGCTCCTGCTGCACTCTTATGATAACATATATCTTTTACAAAACATTTTTTCAACAAAATCTCAATAAGGGAATTGAAATTAAACTTTGGGAGGAGGATGAGGAGGGGGGAGGGGGGTTGTGGGATAAAGTTACTAACAACAGCTAAATGAAATGGTTAAAAAAATATTCACGAATATTAACTAAATAAATTTTCTTTTAAAAATAAATCCAACCGGTAAATTTTTTTTTTTAAAAAATAGTCTTACACATATCTTTCATAACTTTTTTTTTTTTTTTTTTAAATATTTTTCAAAGGAAAAACGTGTTAGGTTAAAAAATTTTCAATTTGATAAGCTGTTATTGTTAAAAAAAAAAAAAAAAACTTTATAATACTCAGCAAGGCAATTAGTTACCTCGTTAAAAATTTTTTTAAAAAAATTACAATTTGTTAAAATGGGGAATCGGGAATCAGGAATTAAATTTTTAAAAAAAATTGTAAATAAAGGATATTAAACGAAATGACACATCTAATAATAATAATTACTTTAGTAAACACACTTAAATAAAAATGGCCACGTGTGTTCGTATACTTTTTTTTTGTTTTGATAAACTCCCGTTATCAATTTACAAGCTTTAGAATTTTTATAAGCTACCCCTACCACCACCACCACCACCACTACTTTTCAATTTTCTTATTTTCAAATGAAAAGGTTAATAAAAAAACATTTTAAATTGAAAAATTATTTTTAAAAAAAAAAAAAAAAAAATTGATAGAATGGATACCGATAATACTCTCCCCTCACTCTATCTCTATCTCTTTTCAAAATTATGTTCCCGAAGAACCCGTCACGTCTCTTAACACCCGACTTAAACCATTATTCCAAATGTTTTTAAAGAGTTAACAAAAAGTTCAACCACCCCTCGGACTTGGATAACCTTGGGTTAAAACCATAACTATTACACATATTCTTAGCCTAACTCCTGTGTTATGCACCGATGGATTTGTTACCCTCGGCTATAAACTACCATCAAATGCCACGCACACACACACTTCTTCTTTCTTTCTTTCCTTTTAGTAATCGAAAAAAGAACCCTTTATTTTTTAAATTATTTAGAAAATTTTTTTTTTGGAAAATAGTAAAATATGTACGTACTTTAAGCGGAAAATTTTTTTCAAACAAACATGTCTGTTGGTTTATGTTAACCCGTAATAACCGTGGGAAAATATAAAGAGTTAAGGGGAATTTTTTTTTTTTTTTTAAGAGGTCTGCGTAAGGCACTTAAACATTTGCTTTAATCTTCAAAATTATTGAAATTATTATTATTATTATTTATTATTAAAAGTTTAATAAATAAACATGTGTGTTGTTTGCATTTTATATATACTTTGTAATTATTATATTATTTTATTAAAATCATAAGAAAAAAAAAAAAAAATGGAATCCAAGATTCAAAAGGTATATTAATTTATCAAAATT